GGATCTAATATATATATATATATATATATTAAAATTTTAAATATATATTAGTTTTGAAAACATGAGAAATGTATTTAATAAGTTATAAAATAGAATAGAGAATAAAATTGATTGAAATATATCTCAATTTAAATTTTACAATGAAAAACCTATTTGAGCGATAAGATTTTAATATGCAAAAATAGAAAGCTTTCTTGCGGTTCAAGTAATAGCATATATTTTATGTCTAGTTTCTCGTTCTTTATATTTGTTACACTCAAAATCAAAATTGAGTAACACAAGCAGTTATTGCATTTCGCCTTCCGAAGCGATGATAAGATAATTGTCTGACCGAATATAAATTGGAGTATTTTGGCGGCTGGGCTTATCAAATATTTTTCCTTATTAGCTGGTGTTACGTTACGTTTAATCGAAGAATGCTTCCATGCTCACAATATTATGTACAGAGATTTGTCCATCCGTCGACTTCCGGCAATATGTTAAATATGAAATTTGTATGCAATGGAAAAAATCATGTTAATATTCTCAGGGTCATGACATTGTCAAAAACAATTTTTGATTGGGCTCGAGCCACCTGCTCTTTGTCCGCTTGTGAGCCCCTTTGATGTCTCACTGACGGGAGATATTCCTCTTCTCTCTAGATCAAACGCCAAACCGAAAGCTAAAAAGAGGGTTACTAAGAATTTGGCTTTCCTTTTATGAGGCCTCTCACTTTGTTAAAGGATATAAATAATATGAATCTTCTCGATAAAAATCCCAATGAGTGTAGATTTTAAACAAAATTATAAATTATGAGACATAAGGGGGAAAACGACGATCGATATATTAGCAAGAAAAAAGACATTATTTTATAAATCTAAATTATTTATGGCGAATATAAGCATATTATTTAAAAAAATGTAGATACAAAGACATTTGGAAGACATTTTGATACACGATCAACCATAAAAAAGATCAAATAATTCTTCTTAATATCTTCCAAATTAATGGTTCCCGAGTAGAGAAACCATTGGAGCACCATCCAGCCACCGAACAAGAAGTAGTCAGAATTTCCTAGCTCCAAAAGTTGTCTTATATATGCTAGCTCAACATTCGTGGCTTTCTTCTTCTAGCAAAGTGCATCAATTTTTATTTCAAGCACTTTTTTCTCATGTTCCAGCTCAGCATCTGTAGCTTCCATCTTCTAGAGAAATGCATCATTTTCCTTTTTGAACTCTCTTCTATGCTCCTGGAACCTTCAATCAATTGTTAGTACTTTAGCCTTTAAGTCAACAATACATCCCCATGTGTCCAACAGACTATCCTCTTGCATTGTGACATAATCAATCAACCTATCTCTCTTTTATGAGGTAGAGAGATAGCTGATTGTGCGATTGGGTATGAGTGGAATCTCCTCGACCAAAGGAGTCCCCTTGGTGGCCGATTCAAAGATCCCTTCAACAAATGGAGCACCATCATAAGCGGCGATTTTCAGAAAAATCTATGTCTCTGCATTTTCAGGTATCGGCCTTCTCTGACCTAGTCCATCAATATCTCTAAAAGCAACATGTTGTCATATTCGACAATAAAAGAAGTATTCGATCGACAAAACCACGTAACGTTACATACAGAAAAGGGGATATCATCACTTCGATAAAATTTTTTGCCCTTAACAATAGGGTTCATGGGAGAGATGTTCCCTAAATCCGTGAGATCCTCATAAGTTTCTTGAAGGCAAAACTGTCTGATCCTTAGTCTCACCTACACCACCACCATCGTAAGTTACAAAAGAATCTTAATTTGAAGCTTGCAAATCAAATATTATTGATATAAATTAAAGGAAACTCATCGATAAGGTTAAGCCCGAAAAGAGCCACGACAGAAGGATTTCCCTACTCCTTCTGCGAGATAGAAAGCTGTCCCTCTACCAACTTGTTCAGATCGAGAGAAACCTTCTTTGACAAACAAGGCTCTCGTAGGGGAAAATACATCCTTTCCATCAAATTTGCCTTTTGCAGTGTATCCTTGAAGTAGCCCATGCTTCAACAAGCCTGAAGGAGATCTTTCCTTAAGAAATTCATCTTTCCTAGAAGACTTAGCTTTCTCTTATGACTCTTCTTTCGACTTCATAAGAGCCATATGCTTCCTACGTTGTAGATTTGCTTTCACACGTGCTCTCGTGATATTCGTCCTCACTGTAAGGATTATTCTCAACTCAATGATAAGATATCTAACGTGATGCATGGGGCACATCTCTATTCTTTCACAATGCAAGAAAAATCCTAAAGGGAGTATACACACTTAAGCTTCAATAAATGTTATGATCAATACTATTTATGACCTCTTATTTATCTCTTGTGGTTTTCCTCTAGGCAGTTCTTACGACATAACTACACAATATTCACACATGGAACCTACCTGACTTCACCATCACTTGACATTATTGCTCAAAACAAAAATTGAAGACATATAAAAAAAACAAGATCTCAACAGGATAATGGAAATGTTAAATCAACCTTTTTCTACAGGGAGGCCAAGATGCCTAAGGAAAAAGCAAATATCCCCCGATAACACAACTTGAGAAATCATTCCCTATAGGTGAAGGACAATGTGCCCCCAGCCGAAGGCTAGTCCCAGTGTGTTAAAGAGCAAAGATGGATCTAATTCCTCACAGGATTAACCATTGAGCACCTTGAGAGAAATGTGTTGATTCATGAGATATGTTATATTCTCTTCTCGAAGATCTCTAAAAAAGAATGTCGGTCAAACAACATGACAAGTATTTATTTTACCATTCTTCTCGTGAAAGTCCTATCGAAAAGTCGAGAGGATCTAAGAACTAAATGTATACACCAATATGACTAAACAATTTTTTTTTACTTATCTTATCGAATAGAGCTTGTCTGCTGAAGTAGCTAAACTTATCCTACCTGCCGAAGTGGCTGAAGCAAGCTGACCTATCAAAGTGGATGAATCGAGCCCACCTATCAAAACTTCTGAATCGATCCCACATGCCAAAGTTGCTAAATCGAACCTACCTGCCAAAGTGGTTGAATCAAACACACATTCTGATCTAATTATATTCACTCCCCTCAAAAGGAGGGTTTACCTACTTGTGCAAGGCAACTATCGAAGAGCACCATCATGAGTAGTAATGACATATGTCAATCCATTATTAAAGATGACACCAAACATTCGTGATCCGATCTTTTTGCACATGAACCAGCAATGGGTATTGTACTGGTAACTCTTGACACCCATATTGCAACATTTTCATCAAGACAATGGAAAAAAGGTGCCATACAATACGATATGTGTCACATCAATTATTTTTATTGTCTTTCTCTTTATTGTATAAAGACGAAGGAAAAATGAGAGGAGTGTGATTTGTCTCACTCTCTCTGACAAACAATCTCCTTTTCTCTCTCCCTATGAAATCCTGTAACTTAGGAAACCCCTGGGGAGGCTGTTTTCTCCGACTTACCAGTGATAAAAATTTAATACATTTCATGAGGTTCCCTCTCAAGCCTCATCCATTTCTCTCTCTTTTTCACACTCTCTCACTACGATACAAGGTGTTTATCGGGTTGTACACACTCACAAACAATATGGCATTAGATTTGTTGTCTCACTACTCGCTAATATCATTAAAATTGAACTCACTGGTACCTCTCCGCTGGCAAGATAATTTATAAGATCAGAATCTGTAAAAGGAAGTATAACTATGCACTTTCTATTTTTTATGGATGATCAGATGTATGTGAACACATCATGTTGAGTTTTGTGATCAAACAATCATGGTCTTCCCAAATGAATGTGACAAACATTCATGAGCACAAAATTGCACCGCATTTGATCATGCAGTTGATCCCTAAAAGAAAAATCCACAAGTCATCTCTTATCAATGTTAATCTTGTCCCTCTTCTTCAAACAAGTCAGCGAATATAGTTGAAAATGTCTCTGAGTAGTGAAACTGAACTTATCCACCAAATCTTTAATGTCATATAAAAAATACCACTAATACTAACTTTTTTAGTTTTTGAAAGTGAAAAACATGTTTTCATGCATAGTGTTATAACACCAAAGTGTTATAAATGTAAATATCAAACTATAGGTGTTACATCTCTAAATACATAGATATTGTACCGTGTATGTAAATTTCCCTCTCTTTTGTTCTTGGAGCCAACCCGAATCAAATTTTTAACAATTCTGCAGTGGTAAATGGACATTATATGGTATGTTGTTAAGTGGTTTATTGAGAGCTAGATTGAGATGATACTTAAACCAGTAAATCCTAATCTTGCTTTATCTATAAGATTAATGCATCTCAAAGTGATACCACCTAAAAAGTAAACCTTTGATTGTATAATATATGCTAATTAAGGAGATGCATTGGAATTGACATAATGGGGTTAATGTAAATCGAATGGATGACAAGCTTATTACTTCGAAAGAAGAGGCATTAGATTGTGTATTGTTAATAGAAATTTAATTTGGTTAATTGTAATAATACAAAATTCGAAAATACTCTAATAAATATTAATTGATGATAATATCAACATGTAATTATTCAGGGTTATTTATGCAATGCAATAGAAATTAGAAGAACTCGTGAATATTATTAATCAAAATGATATATTTTGATTGGTCCTATTAGTTATTTAAGTTTTGGTGCGCAATATGTTGTATATATGTGATTTAGATTCTCTTAACTCTAAGATTTTGGAGCAACATACATTTGAGTGAGAAAGATGGATATCATGATTGAAATTGTGGATTGCCTATAGTCACTTTTAAGTTAGAGGTTCTTTATTGGTTCAAGGATAAAAATACTTGTTTCTTGTTAGAGAAATTTTTCTTAACATTTGTTATGTGCTTCTTTTATTTATTATAAAATAGGTTTAATCCAACCATAATAGTTCTCGTGTTTATATTGATACAATATGATTTTAGCAAGTTATATCATGTTGATAGTTTCATAATTTCATATGAAGTTTATATGCATTATTTTAATTGATGAGAAATAAATCTTACCAATACAAATCATGAACTAAGTTGATATGTAATAAATTTTGATCATAATGATTAAATAATCATCATCATAACACATTGCTTATAATTTAGGAGAGCCATCTGCTATTTTAATGAGGAATGCCATATTATGTTGCTATAATATGATTAGCTGATGGATTTGGAAAGGTGATGAGTTGTTAATGTCTCAAGTTATGTTGCTAAATTATGCAAGTTGGAATTCTTTAGTTTAGCAAACTTTGATAAAAGATAAGATGATTGATTGATTATGATGGTAAGAAATAATATTATACATTAATAAGGAGATTTATTGATGCAGCGAGGAGGTATAAAAGACTGTTAGAGAAAGAATTGCTCTTTTAAAGTGTGACAAAAGTTGAATGTTGTTGGTGCTTACAATGATACTAACAAAACTAGAATCTTTTACTGGGATAAACTTGCTCTGCTGTAAAATATCACTGAAAGATTCTAGAGATATATCGTGCACTGGTGAGGAGACTTATTGGTGATTGGAGAATGTATTTAGTGTTATTAAGAAAAGTGGTTGCTTTAATAAGTGACAAAAACCAAACATTATGGAGACTAGTGAAGGTCTTGCATAATAGTGTACCATGCTAAGCAAAAGTACTTAATCTCCATGATTTGTATACTAGACTTAAACACCGAGGCAAGAGAAAAGGAGACGCATAGACCATCTAATCCAAGAAATAAGAAGTCTATAGACTTCAATGAAGTTAAATGCACTTGAAGCACAAATAATATGATTTTAGTTAAAGATGTTAACATTAAAGAAAGATGAAAATGTTCTTCCAGTGTAATTATGCAAATAAAAGTTTTAAGGAAGATTAGTTTATAAGAGCGTAATGCATAAAATTATGGGCTATTTTATACGTGCGAACGACGGCATGATGTGATTAACGTCATTGACCACACATCTGATTAACCATACGTAATATTTTCTCTTGCAATTGATGATAATTTTAGGAGTTCTATCATAATAATATATATATAACTACAAATGAGAAGTACTCAAAATTCTTATAAGAATTTCCTCATAAAATTTATGGATTATGAGTTTTTTTTCCCTACTCATGAATGTGCATTAGCATGAGAGTGACACATGGAGATTTGTAACAGTCTTAACATATTGATTATGATTATGCATTTCAAATGATGCCTATTTTTTATTACATTGAAGTAATCAATAATTGATTCATATCAAAACATATTGAATATCATTTTTAATGTATGTAATCAGTAAAATCGGAAGAAAATAATTTTTATTTAATTATGTAATCTTATTAGTATTAACAGATGTTAATTTGTTACTGTTAAAATTGACATTGTCAAGATCAATCTAATCAAACTGTTTATAAGAATATATATGACTTATTTCTACATAGCTTAGAAAATAAAGATAGACATTGAATGAATTTGATTATTATTAGCTTCAATTAAAAATTACTCTATGTAAATATTTCAAATATCATTAATTTTGAATGATCGTTATCTATCCCGAAGTTCCAATAAATATTTAAGAAAAAATAATTCTATAATGTGCTCTTTTAACATGTTATTTTTCTCTTGTGCATCTAAAGTGGCTATAAAAATATCAACTTTATAATAATATTCTATTTTAATAAATTTTATAAGCATTATTACAAATACACCTTAATAAATTTTATAATTTCAAGTTTGACTTATTACAAGATTTATTATCGCTAAACTCATTAACTTAGGATCTGTTTGGGACAGTTGCAGCTTGTTGAATAATCTGCTGATAAACAGATTAAAAATAATATGCTAATAAGCTATGTGCGGTGGGTATTATAAATTTTTATTATTTTGGAAAAGTCAGACCGCTGCTAGAAAGTGCTGTGTGAAAATGTTGTTTCAGCGTTTTCAAAACGCATAAGCTGTCAAAACGCACTTTACCCAAACAGTCTAGGTGCATTTTCAAAACACCACAACACCAAATAAGCACGGACCCTTAATCGTACTGTTAATATAAATCACTGTTAATGACTGGCTCCTGAGAAGTTCTTAAAGATATACAATAAGGTTATAGTTATAACTTATAAATTCCTTAATTATAAAATTACCAAAGCTGCATTGATATCCTATTCATCGTATCATCATAATTACGAAATCATGCAAACAAAGTTTACAGTTTAAGAGACACATTTATGATGAGATCTGCCAATACTTAGGGTTGCATGCATGCATATATAGCAGGAGAAACAGAGAGAACTAGTAGTACAATATTTCCATTTTAATAAACTTTTCACTCTGCAATTGGATCTTCAATTCATCAGCCACTACTTGATTTGGAAATATTTAATATGAATCTGACTATATATTCATGTATCAGTCAGGGGAGAGGATATAAACAACATACTAACTAGGCCTCTCTCTCTCTCTATCACTTTCTCTCTCTATCTCTCTCTCTCCCTCTCTCTCTCTCCCCCTCTCCTCTCTTATAAATCGTATAAGGAATACCTATAAAGTTTCTTAATTACCACTGAGGGCTGTATATTTGTATGCATATCCGTATAAATGATGTCATTATAACTAAAAGTTTAAAAATGAAAACTAATGATGATAAGAAGTTTACATCTAGAAATTTATAGACAAAAATTCAATATTTGATTTAGGTTCATCTCTCTGAATTTCACTGATAAAATCCTACAAGGAATTTCATATATATATTCTATTAAAAAAATATTCATTATCATTCATTTCTACATCAAGATTTGGCTTCACAAATCTTCATCATACATAGAAATATATTCAAGAGAATGCATTCTTAATCCAAAATGAGGAATTCTCTTAACTCGTTATGGAATAAAGAGATCCTTATTATTCCCACCAGACTTTCACTGTCTTTCCTTCTTTGTCACTTCTTCTCCCTCCTCTTAGCCTTACAAATCGGTTCAAAGCATGTACGACTCTTCCCATACTTTAAGTACTCCACCAACCCTCACTCTCCTCCATGCTATAAAAACAGAAGCTTTTAAGGGTTTCAATATGCCTTCATCTCTTCGCTAGAGTTAAAAACAAACACTTCAGCCTCTCTCAAAAGTAAGTCACCGAATTCACTTCATATTTTTCAGAAAATATTACGTTCGAATGTCTGATATGTGGACGGTAATGTTGATCGCATCACACCTTAAAACGTATAGTATGGTGCGATCCACACCATCATCCATACATACTATATGTCTAGTTAAATTTATTTTAAAATGAGCATATAATAAATTTTAATTAACCAATCATCTTTTATATTTTTTTAAAATAAATCTAACAACTTTGAAACTCTTAGGTTTTATTTGAGGCAGCTCATTGAATAATCTGCTGATAAGCTAGGTGCGGTGACTATCACCAATTTTTTCTTTTTTTTGGAAAAGCAAGACAACAACTAGAAAACTGTCATCGCACCTAGATAAGTGTTGTGTGAAAACGTTGTTTTCAATATTTTGAAAACGCATAACCTGTCAAAATGCAGTTTACCCAAACAGGTCTGATGCATTTTCAAAACACCACCGCACCAATAAGCTACCCCAAATGGACCCTTGTGGACCCTTGGTCAAAAGAATTTTATATATCCTATATATGCATGCATGCAGAGAGATCTTCGATGTCAAACGTAGAAGAAGGACTCATGCAAGCTGCTAGGGTTTTCAGCTGCAACTATTGCCATCGAGTCTTCACGACTTCGCAAGCTCTTGGAGGTCACCAGAATGGCCATCGAAGAGAAAGAGAACTTGTGAAGAGAGCTCAACGCCATGCCCAGCTTCTTGCCAACCCAATGCATCCTTCACTTCGGTTTACTTCTCCTTATAATGAAAGAAGTTTTTCTTTTGTTTATGGCTTAGAGAGTGCTGGTCATCATCTTCTTACAGTTCCATTACCTATGATGAACCCTAACCCTTTCTACCATCAGCCTTATTCTCTCCCAAGTCAGTATTATGGAGAGAGAAGGGGTGATATTAGGTTGTCTAGGTTTAATGAAGCGATATTAAGTGAGAAGATGCCTTCATCTTCATCTACAAACTTAGAGATGGTATTGTTTACTGGAAGCAGTGGTAATGGGGATTATAATGATGGTATAGAAAATAATGGAAGGGATGAAGAGAAGAGAGATGAAGTTGATCTAAGTCTCCATCTTTGATGTAGTGGCTTGAGAAATATTTCTAAGAAATTCCTATTTATGTATTGAACTTTAAAATGTGTTTTTATTGTAGTTTGCAATGTTTCAGTTTGGGATATTTTACTTTATTTAAGTTTTATGAAATTTCTAAGGGAATTTCTGGGGTAATGTAACATTTAAGTTTTATGAAATTTTCATTATATAAAGTATCTTGAATAAAATTATATATATATTCATAAAAAAAATACTAATTAATAAAAAATTATTATAGTTTATAATCAATTTGGATGTTTTATGATGTGCACGGTTAATTATAAAATTATGAGAATATATGTATATACTTGATATAACTATGGCGTGGGTCATTTTGACTGATAATTATCTAAGAAGATGTGATTTTTTTAAAAAAAATATTTATTGAGGATGAGTACCTTTGATGAATTTTTTTTCCAAGAACCTTTAGTCTAATCATAAGTACTTTGGATGAGTATGGAGGATTTTTAAGAGAACAAATTTGATTAATATGAGACATTTAATACAGGAATTAAGGATATTTTTTGTTGTCAAATGTCGTCGACCGGTAAATATTAGAAAAACATTGGTTAAGAAAAACTACATGCTCTAGAGGAGTGATGAGTGCCGTAGGATTTGTGCCTAAGAGCCTAATCCATATGCACTTTCTTTATTTATAGCTGCCTCTCTCCACAACTCATAATCAGATGGATCATGACCTACCAGAAGGTTTTCTATAAAATTTATAAAAAATAAAGCAAAATTTAATTCAATAATTATTTGAATTATATAAAAATTTCTCTTGTGACTTACATGGGTTACTTGCGATTTGTTGTTGACCCAATTATTGTTAGACTGTCGGTTATATGTACGTGCATGTAACTTGGCAGTGGTGGGCTCTTGTCCCAACTCTAAAGTCTATCAAGGTAGGAAAATATTTAGTATATATTTAATTTACATTAAGATTTAATGCACAAATTAACTCTTGCCAATCTCCTTTTATTTTTGGTATATTGAATCGCCCCATCAGTATGCTTAGAAGCCACCATGTCAATACAGTCGGAGTGTTGATTATCTTTGGCATGCTGACTAATTTGGAGCATCCCATACCATAAAAAAAGCGTTGAACGCATCCTTCTTGAGCCAAAAAGGGAGTTGACACATCTTTCGTACCTCCCTGAACACGTCACGAAGAAAATCTCTCCATTTGTGCTCTAACCACCTCCTGATATGTGTGTCATGCATTCTTAGGACGCTAGGAGAACTATTTCTACAAAAAATGACATTAATGATATTAGATTTATAAAATATACATAACATTAATGCATTGGGTATTTACCGTAAACTATCTAAACCATATGTCCCGAATTGCTATCAGTATCTCCTTCCGAGAAAAATATAGAGCATCATACTTTCTCTGAATTATACCTTTGATAGGATGGATACCCTGTGTAGTGAGATGAAATCTAAAAACAAGAAATAACTAGTTTTATATTAAATTAAGAAAATATGAAGCACTATTACCATTATCTAGAAAAACATGTGTCTGCCCAACATGCTCGACCTTAAAGTGTTGTTCGTGCTGCCCGACACCTCCACTAAGGTAGACAAATTTCCAGCCATAGATGCTGGTGGTGTGTTGGGAAGAGAGGGAGTGTAAGTCGTGGCGCGTGGTGATGGTGACAACGTCGGGGTGGAAGCCTGCGTGGATAACTTGACAACAACACTGGTAGTGGTGAAGAGTGACGAAGAACTGCTTATTGTTGGCCTCATTTAATAACTCATCATTCACCTCAACTTTTTAAAACAAACTTAAAATAAAACATTTAAAATGAAAATTAAATACATTTAACTTTAATCAAATTATTAAGTTGGACTGAAATGTAGCTCGATGAGGGAATATTTTGAAATTATCATTTTCGCTACAAATTATTTTAGCTCTTGGAATTTCATGCTATGAGATATATTAAATCCATTATTAATGTATGAATAGCATGAAGTGAGTTTTGATGGTTATCAGATAATATTTTATGTTAAATTTTACGAGGCAACCTTTCATGTATAGGAATTCGTTTTGCATTAAAATTTTTCATCGAAATGCTATTTTATAAAATAGACTCCGCGAATATGTCGGATCGTCAAAATCTTTCAAATGAGCCCCTTTGAGAGCAAATAAGAATCCATTTTGGGATCCATATTGCCTATGATAATTTGGGCAATAATTAGAATAATTTAGATGAAAATTACAAATTTGCCCTTAAAATGAACTCAAATTAACTCCAAATTTACAATATGATCAAATTGAGCAAAAACATCAAATTTAACCAAATTGAAGCTCATATAAAAGCTCAAATCTCTCTTGTGGGGCAAGGCCCAATCTTTAACCTGAATTTTCATGACTTGGAGACCACTTGTTGACCAAAACAAACCATCTGCCCTCTTGCAGGAAGATATTTCATGTTGACAAGATTTTTAAGCTCAAAACAAGCCAAAAATCATTGAAATCCTCACCATGGATGACATAACCACATGCACGCCTACACCCTTACCGTGCACCCTCGCAATGATGCATATCCACTGGTATGCTCCCGTACCATAGTGTGAAACCACAAGTGCACCCGTGCTGCGATTGTGGTGGGTGCAACATTATTGCAATGCCCCAGTGCCTCCACTGCCTCTCTAACAGTGTAACTATGCCGCCAATAAAAGTGACCATGCTGCCCAGCGGTGTGACCACGCCGTCAAAACTGAGCAGACAACATAGTTATGTCGTAAGGCAGTGTGACCATGTCGTAGGTGATTTATGGGATTCTTGCTCGATTCCAGAGCCAAAAGTTACGCAACTTTGGCCGCTAATGATCATAGGGACTCTCCTTGATCTATGGGAGCCCTAACTATTCCCTCCTTTCACAGTCAAAGATCTAAGGGACAACTCAATCCATGGGAGCTCAAACTATTCCCTCCTTTGGTCGTAGATGATCTGAGGGACTCTGCTCAATCTGAGGGAGCTCCAAGTACTCCTGCCTTTGGCCACCAAACTCCACCTATATATACTTCCCTTGGCTCTCCCCATTACACCACACACACACTCTCTCTAACAATCCTCCTTACTCTTCCTCTTCCATCTTTGATGCTCCTTCGATCTGCTTCCTCCTTCCTTTCGCTGGTGCTCAATAGTCCATCTACTGTCATTCAAAACTTTTCAGCATTTTGACGTCCCCACTGTAAACACCTTTTCCCCTGTTCTCCTACTTCTCAATTCTTCTTCTTCTTTACCCAAACCTAACCTATCCTAACCCAACCCAAAACTAACCCAAGTCTAACCTAACTTATGTATAACTTAACCCAAACCTAACCTAATACATGTCTAACCTAACCCAAGTCTAACCAAATACAAACCAAACCTAACTTAACCTAAACCTATCCTAAACTAAGCCTAACCTAAGCCTAACCTAAGCCAAGGCTAACCTAACTTAAGTCTAACCAATCCCAAGTCTAATGTAACCAAAGCCAAATCTAACCTAAGTCTAACCTAATCCAAACCTAACCTAACCAAAGCATGGTATAACCTAGTTTAGCTTCAACATATAATTAATGTGCAATTTAACTTATGAATGTGCATTTTAACTTATGTAATTCTTTTTTAAGAGTTTTATATGTTTCATGTATACTGTTCTCCACATGTCATGTGTATTTATTTTTATTTGTCAAAAAAGTAAAAAAAAAAAAAAAAAGATAAGGAGAACCTCTCGTATGTAATTTCTCCTTGAAAATAATAATAATAATAAATCTTTTTGCAAGCCATATGTGGTTGAAATCTTGTAAGACAATAAAACATTATATATATATATATATATATATATATACACACTAAAATTAAGTTAAAAATAATTTTTGAATAATTCAAAACACTTAAAACTATCTAGAAAATTGGAAAATAATTTAAAACATTTAAATATAATAATAATAATAATAATAATAATAATAATTTAAAATAGTTAAAAATAATTCTAAAATAATTTAAGACATTTATAACACTTCAAAATAATTTCAAATTAATTCAAACATTTTAAAATATTTAAAAATAATTTTTTTAAAAATAAAATTAATTCAAAAAATAATTTTAAAACATTTAAAATAGTTTAATAAAATTAAAAAAATTGAAAATAAATTAAAATCAGATTAAAATAATTTTAAAAAAATTAAAACAATTAAATCTTATTAAAAAAAGTAAAAATAATTGGAAAGTAATTTAAGATAATAATTTAAAACACCTTAAAATTAATTTGAAACTAATTTTGGATAACCTAAAACAACTCAAGTAAAATTTAAAAATAATTTAAACATTTAAATTAAATAAAATCTTAAATACACTTAAATTAAATAACCTAAAATAACTAAAACACTTGAAAAAATAATTTAAGATAACATGAATATTTAAACCAAAATAAACTTAGGATCACTTAAACACTTAAGACTAAGTAACTTGTTAATACACTTGAACCAAAGTGACAAAAGTTGTAAACTTTTGAAATAAAACTTTTAAAGCTCAAACAATTCAAACACTTAAAAGTTTTTAAACCAATTTACACTTAAGAGAAATATATGTAAATCTACCCAAAAAATTTAAAAAAAAACGCACGCACACGGCTGCATAAGTAGTTCTAAATGACATATTTTAGTTTCCCAAGCACACAGCTCTCAGTTGAAATTAAAACCAAACAGACCCAACAAGTTACATATTCCGGCTATAAAAAGAAAAATACAGAACACACAACGGTTTGCATGATATGAAGGAAATATGTTGCCACAGTTCGTGGGATATAGAAGTAACAAATACTGAGAGTTTGAGTGAATTTAATTGCAAACTCACACACACTATCTCCTGGTTGGAGTCTAAGCTCCTAACCCACATTTACTCGTTCCGTTCATAAACAACACGAATTGAATACCTCTTAAGATAGTAAGTATATCTATGGAGACGCTTCATTTATTTAATTATTAACTCC